CAAGTGAAACACACCTTTTCATGCATAGATTAAAATCACCAAGCACTACACATATATAAACATATAAATATGAAAATACAAGGGAGGGGCATATAAATCTAAATTTTCCCCAAAAGAAAAGCACTTCAAGCTATTATTATCAAATTGGAGATCAAAACACATCACAAAAATATTAAATGTGCCTTAGAAATAGTGCAAATATAGATTTTAACTAATCCCTCATACACTACTTACATCATTTCAAATCATTCAAATTATTTTACATTTTCACTCTTCTTTTTTGCATTTACATGTTGCTACTTTCAACACTTCCATATTTTCTGAAACTTGGAGGTTGGGAATATAAATTTGTCAATCAGAGCTTGGGCCATGTTTTTATAAGCTGCTTGTGTCAAGTGAATGCCATCCCAGCTTATGTATTTTGAGGGATCAGAGCAGGGCCATGCACCTGGCATTCCGCATATCATGTTTATATCAAAATTGTATTGTCCACCACCCCCACAGCATGATTTAAGTAATGAGCTTTCATCAAAACCTGCCAAAAAAATATAAAATTACACTAAATATAACTTTTTTTAGTGGCATTTACATACATACCATACCATCCAATTCTTATGTATTTACATATGTAACAGCTACTTTGTTTTTTTATATTCATACCCCCCCAAATCTTTTATATCCTATAACAAATACCAGCATTTTAACTTTTGAAAAGTGAAATGCACCTTTGTTTTTTCATGCATAGGTAAGGCGGTATATTTGTAAAAAGTGAAGTTTAAAAGTCAAGTATGTAAATAAATAAAAATTTATGGTGTGTTTTTTTATTCATTTTGTTTTCTTCCATTTAATGCTATAATAAGCCTATAAGAGATTTCAATTAGGTTGTGAATATTTTAGAGGTTTCACATATATTTATTATGTCGCATATCCCGGCCTCCTGGTTGGTATCTACGGTATAAGACCCCTCAGGAAGGTCGAATCCACTATGACACAGTTGGCATTAAAAAGATGGTACTCGAATTGTTAGACACATTAGGGATGGTTGGAGACTCGTATAATAGTCTTTGGTCATTCATTTAAAAAAGAAAAAAAAAATCTGTATGTGTATCAATATATATGTGAATGGATATACATATATATGTGTATGTATAAATGCATTATATGATACTTAAAAAGATAGAAATTGCATAAACATACCAAGAATGGAAGCCTTGTCAATGAGGTTCATGAAAGCTTGATAGTAATCAGAATAGAGAATGTTGGCGTGAGGATAAGCCTCTCCCAAGCTTTCAAGCGCTTTCTGCAGTTTCTTGTTGTGGACCTGTGAAAATGTGTTCAGCTCCTTGATGCAATTGTTTCTGTCATATACTTTTGCACCCTTGCCTTTATAATTCACCAAAAAGCTTGGAAAGCATCCAATTGGAAAATTGCCAGGTACAATAATATGAACAGCTCCAGCTTCAATCACATGCTGTTGTAAAATATAGCAAAAATTAGAAAAAAAAAAGGCTTTTTGTAGGCAATTTTGCATACATACCATGCAATACTTCCGTATTCACGTATCTAAAGTTTGATATTTATGCTTATAATGCTTTGGTGTCGTAAACTTACGCGGGAAAAGGTGTCTTTTGATTTTAAAGGAGTTAATAACAGTGATATTTTTATGTGATGTTAAGGTTTTAAGTGCTGTAAATGTAAATGTGAAAGTTTAAGTGTTAGATATGTAAATAAATAAAAATTGTGTGGTATGTAAACGCCCCCTTTTCAGTAAGAGATTATACATCAAAATGGTGTTAGTGCATATCTCATGGGGATTTAACGGGGATTTAATGGTCCATATCGATCAAAAAGCGTAATGGAGGAAGATCCCGTGCAACGAGATCGTGAGACCCATCGAGCAGGCCAAGCTAAGGACCATATGGAAAAGCATGATGGAGAAAGATCCCGTGCAAGGAGATCCTAGGACCCATCGAGCAGGCCAAGCCAAGCTAACCTAGTAAAAAACTGACGTGAGGATGACCAACTCGTAACAACAAAGTGAGTCAACTTGATGCTCACCAGAAAGATGTCTGAACCTTTACCTAAGGGAAAGCAGAGTCAAAAGCTTATCCTGCAGGAGAGCCCACCCGAGGGAAGGGACTATTCCACAACGTCCTCGGACATCCAACGGATATCAAAAAACTTCTCGTTAGAAAGAGGATCTTTGAGCCCACCAAGTTCAACAAGCGAACCAAGCTGATTGAGCCCTAGCAAACAAGATAATCGACCGAGCGAGCTAAGCTGATCGAGCTCTACCGACCAAGACAATCTATTGAACGAGCCAAGCCGATCGAGCCCTACCGACCAAGATAATAGATCGCTCAGAACCGACCAAGCTCAATGATTGAGCTGGGATGACCGAGCTAAAAAGTGACCAAATAATGAGTAGTTGCTTATAAAATATTTGAAATACCCAACACAAATCCCATCCAAATTCGGACTTACTATTGTGCTAAATCTTCTATAAATAAGAGAAGCATTTATTGTAAAAAGCTCTCTGCCCGTTTTACTGTTCATTCATTAGAATATAGCTCAACTATAGAAGCTCTCTCTCTCTCTCTTCTTATTTATGCTATATTCCTTGAAAGTGATTTACGGACATTTTTATATTCAACAGACATTATTCAGAAATGAAAATGATTATTGTACACAATAGTGGTATCATGTTCGAGGGTGCTCTATATAAGTAGGATTATTGTCAAATTTTGAAAATTACTTGGCACGAAAGATATCAAATATATTTAAATCTCTTAAATTCTAATCCTTTGTGATTTAGCCTAATTTGGGAGGAAAATAAAATTTGAGAAGATTATAGAATTTATGAGACTAAGGAAATTTTTATGAAAATTTAATCTAAACCTTGCAGATAAACAACTCACCTTGACTGCGTCTACTATGAGTTGAACAACTTGTGGAACAAAAGTTGCAACATCTTCGATTGATTTCCCTTGATAGAATGCAAAGCTGTAGTCATTTCCCCCAATTTCTCCAAGCAAGAAAAGAGTCCTCTCAAGCTTCTTACTACATTCTGCAATTCTTCTCAGTTAAATGGCAAAATACTAAATTTACATACATACCACTCAAAAACGTTATATTTACATGTCTACCATTCTAACCTTTATTTATTTACACTTATACCACCCAAATCTCTCATATCACATAAAAACACACATTTTCATGCATAGGTAAAAGGTCAGATATACGTAAAAATTGAAGTTTAGGTGTTATATATGTAAATGCAAGGGAATTATGTGGTATCTCTGTAAATCTTCTTATAATTTAGTATGTCAATTTCTGCAAAATTTATGATTAAATACCTTCCCTTGTTGAACAAACACTGCTGAGATGGGTATTGAACCAGCTGAGCTGAATTCCAATAGAACTTGCAGCATAGGGCATGATAACATCATTTGACATGAAGAATGGCACATCAAGAGCTGTAGCTCCAGCGACGGCGAAATTGACTCCATCATCAAATTTTGATGTTTTATCCATGTAGGGGTTGATCAGTGAAAGATTCAGAGCCATTGCTGATTGTAGAAAGGGTTGGAAAATAATCAAACTTAAATTCAAAAGCGAGGAGCGAAAAAAGAACGAATATTGAAAAGAAATTAGCGAATTCAACCATTCTTATCGCCGCTGTAGATTTCGATTCAACCATGGAGA